TCCAGAGACTCATCCCCCCTCTCTGCCCCCTCCTGGCAGGGAGTTGCCGAGGGCCAGGAGGTCTCCCCTCAGCCTCCTCTTCTCCAGACTGAACCCCCCCAGTTCCCCCAGCCGCTCCCCAGCAGACATGCTGGCCCTCCCCAGCCCTGAGGAGCAGCCCAAAGCGCTTCAAGCACCTGGTGAAGATGGTTTTGTGCACGAAATCATTAACAGGCTTTAACAAAAGTCTCCTACCTTAACAGCTGGTTTGAGGAACAGCTGGATAATGTTTTTAGGGTCATAGTTGAAGTCTGTGGGAAGCGTGGTGCTCTTCACATTCTGGCTTTCCAGAATGGATTTGGCTAGAGTTATAGATGCCTGGGGAAGGTAATAAATACCATTACCCATGAGTTATCCAACTCTTGGAAGATTAATGCACAAATAAGTACTTAGAACACAAGTCTTCATCTGAAAGGAGGCAAGTTCTGAGATGCTTCTGAAAAGTAATTCCACAGCGGTCAGTCAGGGCACCCAGCTGGTTCTGCACAGCACCTGGGACACGCAGCTGGACCCGTAGGGTCTCACTGACAGCGTAAACGCCCGGTTCTCCCCCCCAAGGTTGACAAAACTCTCTACTTATAATGTAACCTGGAGTTGACTTCAGACACCAGTTCCAAGACAGGTTGATCTAGCAAAAGAGAGAGCAGCAAGGGACAGAAACTCAGCACGTACCTTGGTCTTACGGAAATACGTGTCAAAGTCAATATCCTCATCAAAGTTTATTTCAAACGCTTTCTTTACATTCCTTTTCTTGGTCTCTTTTTCAGAGTTACCATCTGCTGCAGAAAGGAAGGAAACTGCCAGTGCTTTGTGACAGAGTAAGGACAACAAGCCCACTCCCAACTTGAGCATCTGCTCCATGCAGAAATGTCACCTACAAGGACTTTCCCCCATGTTACAGGAAAGAAATAGGTATTGTTCTCACAGCTTCATGTTTTAAAGGGATCAGTATCTTTCTATAAAAGCAAAGTGTAATCTAGTCTTCAGTTTTTATGCAAAAGGTGGGAAATGACAGCAGGAGCTGCATTTGTGCTAGTGTCTCCTGTTGCTGCAGTGAGAGACACCCCCTCAACTTTCAGCATCATTAAACCCAAACACTAGAGAACGTATTAGACACCGAAGGGTCTGCACGTGACCAAGAGCCTTCCTGGTGCCTGAACTTGGTACTGCTTCCCACCTGGCTAGGAAAGAGCCACACAGGCTTGTCCCCTTCTCTACTGTCCTCACTTTACAACACAGATGCCCCTCGTCCCCAAAATTAAGCAGAATGTGGCAGCACCCGTAGCATACACGCCGCTGTCTCTAACTACCTACATTTGTGTTGAGGTTTGAACCGCCAGTGCTCCGGCCCAGCCCACATCGAGAGAATTCGGGGACTGAAGTAGGAGTATTCCCCGGGTTTCATGGAGAGATGAAGGCACATGGTCCCAATGTCTCCCTTTCCAAAAGGAGCCGCATCAGTTCTGGAAAAAGCACACATGGTGCTCAGTGAAATCCTTCCTCTGGTGCACACCAGGCCTGAGCACACGTTTAATCCCGAGACCAGCTCTGTAGCAGGGGCTCTGTGAGCAGGGCTCCCGCCCCTTAATCACTGAACGGTACTGTGGGTGTTGTGCTGTCTGGAGTCCGTGAGGCTGCTGCAAAAACACAGGTGGATTTGCCAAAGGGCAGGCTGGAAACTGGGGAGCAGAGCGAGCAGACGAGCCATCACTCTGGAAAACGTGATCATACAAAAAAGGCCCTCTTGGAGGGTAGAGATATTCCTCAAAATCTGACCAGAAAGCAAACTATAGCGAGATGGGAAACACATACACAGGTAATCAAAGATTCCCCAGAGAGCAGCCAGAAGTTGTCGTTTCCCATCAAAGGTAGAGATTTGCAGTGATTACTTACATCATGCTCTGGCTGACTGTTTTGATGGAGTTGAGGTTTTCTGAGAATTCCCCAATCTTCTCAGCCACTGCACTCCTGGGGGAGTCAGAATTGAAGTCGTCATCCGGCAGAACGGGAACACAGTCTTCCACATCACTGTCTATCTCCGCGTTGATATCAAACACTTGGTTGCTCTTCTTAAATTTATCCAACAGGGCTGCCACTGACTGTAGGAGGTGTTCAGGAAAAAAAAAACCAAAACAAAACAAGCAGGATATCAGCAGCCCTGGAGCACAACATCCCCTTGTCACGTGTGTCTTGGAGATGGCTTTGGAGGCGAGGGCAGAGCACAGCTCGAGCAGCCCAGCTGGTGCAGAGCTAACAAACGTACCTCCTCGTGAGACTCGGCATCCCACTTTGTAAACTGGAAATCAGCCAGCGAAGAGCAGATGAGGCGTTTTTCAATGCACTGAGCTAGCAGGGCTAGAGACAAGGAGAGCAAGGGGGAGAGATTAAATTTAGGAGGAAGTAACCAGTACCTAAACCAAGGGCCAGGCATTAAAGTATTCTTAAAGCCACGTATCTAGGCAGCCCTTCTTGCACGTAGGGTGGTGCAGGGCTTGCTACGAAAGCAGTCAGGCTCATTTCTCAGCAGAAAGCTGCTACCCTAACTCGAGGGTGGGCACAACACTGAGAATCTTGTCAGAGCAGCAGGGTTTCGTAGCATGTACAGGCTCAAAACACCCTAAGGTCAGTCCTTAACCTGGAGCACGCTAATCTCAACTGCTGCACAGCCCAGACCACGTACAAGTGCTGTGTGACAGACCTGCCAGGTTTTAGTGATCTAAAACCTACAAAAGGACGTTTTTCCAGCAACTGGCCCCAACTCCATCAAGATCAGAGCAGTGGTTCCACAGGGTAGCCAAGCAGCAAAAAAAAAAAAGCACAAGTCAAGCTGGCTGAGACTAAAATGAGCACGTCTGGGAGATGATAAGGATTGAACGGTCTGGATGAGCTCCTTTGCTTAGTGGTTATGGGCACTTACACTTTAAATCCATCACTTTCACAGGATCAGAGTTTGGCAGCACGACTGTCTCTGAGGAAGGGAGAGGCACGATCTTCAAGTCAAAGAGGAGCTCGCTCTGGCAGCTTTGAGTACGCAGCCCAGTGAGGAAAATGCCAGCTGTGCTGCATTCATCAAAAGATGAAGCTGTTTTCTGGAACATGGGATCAATCTACAGGTACGGAACAAAGCAGAGAATCAAGGAATGGAGTAGATGGAGGGGGTGAAGCATGTCCCTGCAGCAGACTTCTAAGTACGGATCTGAAGGGAGAACGACCCACGTATCTTTTTCAGCGAGGAGAGAGCTCTCACAGCTGCCTCACACAGGAGGGATATACGTGACTGGAAACAGCAGAATTCACAGACAGACGTGTGAATGTTGGAGCCCATGAGAGGAATGCACAATAAGGAAGACAATCAAAATGAGAAAGATGAGGTGACATCTCCCTTCCTCCACCAGAACGCAGCTGGTGCAGCAGCCCCCCTCCACCCACCTCACATCTGTGATTAGTCTCCGATGCATTGATGTTATTCAAGTTCTGCTCGATGGTTTTGAATGAGTGCTTCTTCTTTGTCTGAACTCTCTTGACAGCCTCAGGAGCAGCATTGTCTTCTAAAAGAAAAAAGAACAAATTACACCTAGAAAACGTACTAAAATATACTAAGAGGGTGTTTTGCCAGTTATCAGGCCTAGCATAAAGGACAGCGCCAGCATAAATATGAACCAATAACCAAATTGTGTTTGATACCAAAGGGTCAGTCCATGGGTGAGCGCTGGGGGTACAGACAAGTCAGTCAGATGATACATAACCGACATCAATCCCACCGACCCCAACAATGACACCGCACGACCAACAATGGGTGGGATAAATGGTGACATGCATCTCCCAGAGAAGGGACAGGGGATAACTGAGTCAACAAGCCAAACACATCAGACCGAGGAAGCCACAGACAATCTCACACAGCCCGCGTTTACAAAAGCCAGACCTGCCTGGAGCCCAGCCCAGGGAGGCGGGAGGTCCTTCCCCAGCAGGGAACTCTGCCCAGGGCGTCCCCCTCGCAGACAGACCCTGCCCCTCCTGCGAGGGGTCCCCGCTGTTATCCCCAGTGGGACACCTGACCTTGGGTCACTGACTGCGGGACCCCTGGGGCTCCTTTACCCAACGGCTCTGTCTGCCAGGGCGCCCACCCTGGGGGGGAGCCTAAAGGGAAACTCACCCCCTTTGGGAAGGGCTGGGGGATCACCCAGATGTCAGCCTGAATTTGGGGTTGGGGTGAAACCCCAGCATTTCACTGGGATAGCACAACTTCTACTTCAGTTCGTACAACAAACACAGAAAAACCCAGTGGACACGAAGTCACTCAATTAGGTAATTATTAGCATGAGCCACCGATGTTTTATTGGTTGGATGCTGCGTTTCTTTTTATCGACTATTTTATGTTAACAGCACATTTCTGTTTCAAAGCAAAGGACAGCAAAGAGTGGAGAACTCTCTTAGCCTTTCAGATTAGGCCACCTTTGGTTTGCATTCTGACCTGAGAGGTCAAATCGATGAATATAGGATTGAGCAACAGATTCAGGTTCTCACCTCAACCCAGGCAAATTAATTAGTGATTTCCCAGCCCTTGAAAAACGAAGTCAGTTGTACTCTCCCAGATGTACAAAGCGCTTCGAAATTCACAGGTGCTCTGCAAGCCCACTGACATTTCTCTTAAGCACATGGAATGGGAACAGTTTAACAGAAAATGAGCGAGTGACACACCTTCTTCTGAGCTGTCTGTGGGTTTTGCGGGTGCCAAGTCCGTGCCCAAACCTCCGAGAACTTTGTACGTATCCGTGTGGACTGCATCCACGCGCACGGAGTAAATCTTTGCGCTGGCATCAAGCGTGCCAGCTGCTACCTGACAGGAGGAACAAGGGATGCAATTTTTAGTTAGAAAGGAAAAAGCCTCATCTAGAAGAAGCAAACGCAGAAGACAAGCCGCAGATCTGAATCTGTGAATCCTCTGCATTACAAGCCAAATCGTGAACAACTGGAAGATTTATTCTGAAACCCACTGGAGAACAAGGTGCAACAGCAAAGGTCAAGATGTGTCTTCCCTGGCAGAGCCTACAGTTTGCTTTATCGGGTCTTTTGGAAGGGTTCACACAGAATGCTTTAAAAATTGCCAAGATTAAGCAATGGGGAGAAGCAGAAAGGTATCTTCCAAGAGACTTCTCTCCTCTACCTCTCCTTCATGCCTTCTTTTGGGTTATCCTCTTGGTATCATTCTGTTTTCCCAAATTACAAAGTCAAAAGAGGTGAAGCACAGGAGGTGACAATTGTCCTTTTCGATCACAGACCCCCCCAGAAGGTGAAGAATCACCCGCTGAAAACCCGTGCACTCTTTTCTGCCCCTTCCTCAGTTCCATCAACCAAAAGACAGCTAGTTCAGGGGTTTCTTGAGGCCGTGCTCAAAGGCCCAGCTATTTGTTCATTCATCCAAGAATTCAGTTTCCCCTCCTAGCATCAGGCAACTATTACAGCGAGAAAGTCTTTGCCCTGACAAGTTCTTCTCATCCATCCTGGATCAATATTAGACCAGGAGTTAGCCACACTAACGTCCTTTGTTTTGTTACTGGTTGTAACACCTGATATTCACCTCATAAGCCTCACAAGTCTTGATTTTAAACAAGCTCTCCTTTTGAATGACCATAACTGAAAGAATTCAGCCTTTAATTTCTGTGGTACAAAAGGATTCAACACTAGGCTTCTGCAAAAAGTGACTGTGCTGCCTCTACCAGGTATTTTCAGTGGCAGTAACCAGCTCAGCTACCTTCAGCATTATTTTAGGTTTGTTATTGATGAAGCCTCAGGCTAAATGCAAACTAGAGACAAAGCACCGCCGTGACCAGGCGGCGTTTCCTCTCACCTTGAAGTTGGTCACTTCAGAGTCCTTCTGTTTCAGGATGTCGGTTATGTAGTCTATCAGGTGTAAGCCAAAGGCATTCCTCGTGGTGATTTTCTAAAACAAAGCACAGCTCAGAACTGATCCCCTGGCAAATGATACCTGTGAAAAGTATCTGAACCCTTAACTCGCAGGGGTTTACAGCAGGACTGAGGGGATGCCCATGTGCTGCTCTGTTACTGCTGGGAAGGCAGCAACCGCCTCCCAGGCCTGGCCGTGGCTTGGCTCAGGGATGTGGCTCAGGGGGCTGGGAGCAGCCAAGGCTCAAGGAGTTTAAAACCCCTCCCGGCCTTGCAACCGCGGGCAGGCAGGGGCGGTGCGAGAGGGGCCGGGCCCAGGAGCCCTCCCCGAGGCAGCCGACTCACGTTCTCGGTGGAGAGCTTGATGCAGGTGCTGTAGTGGTCCGAGATCTGGGAGTTGGTCCACTGGGAGAGGGTCGGCAGCCACAACTGCGCCTGCCTGAGAGAGACGCGGCGCTTTGCGGACCCTCCTCCTCCTCCTCCCCGCGCTCCCCCCGTGTCCCCCC